TGTGTGTGCCCAAGAGGGGATGGGTGAGGAGGCTCCTGGGCTGTGCTCCTCGGTAACCTGATGTCCCCACAGGTGGACATGCAGTCGTCCCTTCTCCCTTAGGCTTTATCAGTGGCCGCACACCACAGTCCACTCTGCAGCCCCAGCTGTGCACAGCTGGGCCATTTCCACTTGTTTACTCTCATAATTATACTGAAGGGTTCATCTGCATCCATACATCTCTCTAGTTTTTAGGACTGGTCCCTATAAGTGGAAGTTCTGGAACACAAGTTAAGCATATTTTAAAGCATTGGCTGCAGTTTCTAGATTCTGTGCTCTCTTTATCAAGTGTGAGCTTTGTTTGGGAAGCAGGGCCTCCAGAGAGACTGGAGCTGACACCTCAGGCAGGGAGGAGGCCAGGTCAGGAGTGGAGGCCTTCAGGGCATCTAAGAGTGACCCATGGGGCCGGGAAGGGCCACTCGAGTCCCTGTCCCCCAGGTTTCCTGCCACAGCATCCCCTGCTCCATTCCCCGGAGCACATGTCACCCAGGCCTCTTTATGTGACACACCCAGGCCCTGCCCCTGGCCTCACCCACCGGCCCCTCCAGCTCCACAAGTCAGCTCTGAGAAAGGACACCAGGCCCTGCTTCCAGGCAGCGGAGGCTTCAGGCTGAGTCGCTCCTGCTCCCTCCCCCTCCAAGCTGGGGCTCCTCCTTCCCGAGACAGCACCTCCAAGGGCAGGTCATTGAGGTACAGCCATGGCCTCCCATCTGTCACTGCATCCCAGAGACACGGAGTTTGACTGGTCCTCACACACAGTGTGACCATGACAATGCCTTCAGAGCTATCACCTGTACTGTCCCCTCAACCCACAGAGCTTCTCTCCAGGTGTCCCTCATGCTCAGGTGTCCCTTCCTGGAAGAGGGCTTCAGGACCACTTCTGCCAAGACCAGTCCACATTCCCCTGCTTCTGCTTCTCCTCTTTGTACTTATATGTGTCACCTCTGAAACACCATCGCTTCTGTTTCACCTGGAATGTGTTTGGATCACCCTGTCCTCCCCAACAGGAAGACAGGACTACGTTTTAGTTTTAATTTATCTTCTCCAACCCAAGCAGAATTTTTTTAATCAATTCAAGGAAATGTCATACACCTCATCACGGTGCTCCCTCTGTCGTTTATTCACGTGATTCCCTCCATTAAAAAAGTGTTATGAGCTCCGTCCCTTCTGTCATGATCAAAACCACTCTGCGCCCACTCCACAGGGAGAGCACATCGCCTGTGAATAAGGTACTAAATGCGGGCCTAAAACTTAGTTATGCGTGAAAAGAAAACCCCAACCCTGCCCTGGCTTTCCATTGAGGTATGAGTGCAC